AATTATTAAATATTTAAAAATTAGCTATTATTTATTTTTAAAATTTTAATTTAAAAATGTCAACATAGAAATATATTTTTAAAATCAATTTTATCATGGTAAAATCAAATTACCATATCCAACTCAACAATTTAAAACTTGAGAAATTTGAATTGACTTATCCAAACAAAATATTTTAAGAATGATAAAAATTGAAATCAAAGTAATGCAAATACCAAGAATTTTAAATTATTCTCAAAATCAGTGGAAGTGAAATCTCAGATAAACTTTACGGTTTATGTCATGAGTTCAAATCTCGGACTCATAAATTTTGAGAAAACTTTTCTTAAATAGTACAGTACCTTTAACTTTGTGGAAATATTTAGAGAAATATTCTGGTATATCTAAAAGTCTCACATCGCTTAGGAATCGAGGTTAAGGGTAGTTTCTCTCTCCTTAATTCACCGAGGCACCTTTTAAAGGACAAAACTGTGACAGCCCAACGAGTGTCAAAGCGGACAATACCTTAGATGTATTGATTCTAACAATGATAGTAGACTTACGGTAGAAACATTTGGCGCTATAGAAAGAGGGCCTAGGCTACTCTTGCCTCTTAGCATCCGATATGCCTAAAAGTCTCACATCGATTACGAGTGTCAAAGCGGACAATACCTCGAATGCAGTGATCCTAACGACTTACGATAGGAACAAGAAAAAAATTGATTAAAATTAAAATTCACAAAACTTTTTTAAAGGTCAACCATATTATAGTTGGGTCTGTTGGAAATGTTGACATCATAAAGAAGGCAAGTGATATCAAATTTCAGAAAGTTGGTGCCTCTGATCTCAATATTCCAAATGTAGTTTTGACACGTATAGTATCAAACCTCCAAAAAAACAGAGAACAACTCGCATCCTAGATCACTTATATAAATACAAAATACTTAAAAAATTACCAAGTTATGGAGATTTCATTTTAAATAGGCCACAGATATTTATTTATTAAAATACATGCATGATAGATATTATAATAAAAATACTCTAAGATTTCTTTGTATTTATTGCATAGCATATTCTAACTTGTGGCATGACTCTTGTGGGTTCATTTCATTGGGAGCATTCCCTTTCTGCACCAGCTAGTATATATATAGGCAAAGGGAGACACATGAGTGAGGCATAACATAATTGAAGTGATACTATATATATATATATATAGGAGAGAGAAATCAGATAGCATAGGCCATTGGTATATATTGGAAGAGTGCATATAATATATAAGTAGAAACTAAGGGTTTGTGATAAGATGGGGAGAGGAAGAGCACCATGTTGTGATAAGAGTCAAGTTAAGAGAGGTCCTTGGAGCCCTTCAGAAGATCTTAAGCTCATTGCTTTCATTCAAAAGTATGGCCATGAAAATTGGCGTGCTCTCCCAAAACAAGCAGGTATGTGTTTCTGTAATGTCTTATCTCAGTAATGTCTTAATAAGAGTTAATTTGCTTATAAGTTTGTAAGTGTTTTTGAAAATTTTCCTATTACATAAGTAGAGAAGTTCTCGTAAGTGCTTATAGCTTGTATTTGAACAGACTGTAAGAGAAATTAGTTTCAAGTTTCAACCTCCTTTTGTATTTCATCTGATTTATTTTGTATAAACTGCAATTTTCATATTCCATCCTTTAATCTGCATTATTGTATAACCATATGTGAAAAAATTTTATTCTCTGGTAACATGCGGTTTGGGATAAATTCAATTTTTGCATTTGCATGATTTCACCCACTGTGTTTCATTCTCTGCTACCTGCTTTGTGGTGCAAATTAAATTGATTAATCAATTCAGAATAGTAAAAGGAATGAAGACATAATAGTTTGGTAGAAATCGGTGACATTTGGCTTCACTCATGTTAGCAAGATAAGTTAGAAACAATGGTCACCAATATGTGACTGTGGACCCTCCTTTCCTACCTATAACTGTGACATCTGAAATCATAGTTAGAGAAAATCAGACACATTTTAAATCATTAATTTCTGATAATGCATGCTCACCTACTATTAATATGGCCCAGACATCATGACTTTTATGCTACATATATAGACACTAACATAACTTACGTAAGGGTGTTAGATTCCATTATGCCAGTAATAAATCTTTATATCAAATACTTGAAAGAAAAGACACTCAGATTCAAATTTGATGTTTCCTAATATGGATTAATGGATTATAATGGATTTCTTGACAACTCTAAAGTAGACAAATCACAATTTTAGGCTTTTAGCTAATTTCGTAACTATCATGATTTCACTTTCTTCATTGGTTTCGATTAGTCTTTGAATTAGGAGGAGGGGTAAATCAAAGTGTGATTAAATTTAAACAAAAAAAAAAAAAAAAGACAACTGGGCAAGAAGAATTACACGTGACACGACCTAAAACTGTAAAATTCAATAAGGAAATAAACAAGTACCACCTTCCTACAAATATACATTATATGTAACACAGCAACATAATTATTATTTAATACCATCGTAATTTTATTCGTTTTTGAAGCAATCTTGATTATAAAATAATATTGGGTAAATAAAAAGTATGCAATATTCATGCCTTCTAAACAGAGATGTCAAAATAACAAAAATTGCTTGAATTTGTTAATACTAGTGTAGATGTTATTAAACTTTGCCCTCACTTGTACTTATGAAGGGCTTATGCGGTGTGGGAAAAGTTGTCGTTTGAGATGGATCAATTATCTCAGGCCTGATGTGAAGAGAGGAAATTTTACACAAGAGGAAGAGGAAACCATAATAAGGTTACATAAGGCCTTGGGAAACAAGTAAGTCTTTTTTGTCTCAAATCATAAAGTTAATTTCTTATAATGTTATTTTTCCTTTTTTACTTATATTGTGGCATAACATAACTATATCTAATTATGGTTTCAACACAAATTGGTTTCAGGTGGTCAAAGATTGCATCATGTTTGCCTGGTAGGACAGACAATGAGATCAAGAATGTGTGGAACACCCACATAAAGAAAAGAAAAAGTTCAAATTCAAGTGCACATGAATCCAAGCCAAAGTCATCAATAACTTCTTCCTCTTCATCTTCATCCGAATTATTTTTCTCAAATGAGACACCGAATTCGCCAAAGACCACAACACTTGGTGATGAATTTAATGACCAAGCATCACAAGTGACAGATAAAACAGAGCAAGATTCAGATAAACAAGTATCAAATGAGCTTATTATCATCTCTGAGAGTCCAAAAGAGTCATCAATTTCATTATCATCTATTGAGTCAAATATTGTAACCTCAAGCCAAAATGTTGCATACAAAGCAGAACAACAATTGGCTTCACCATTATCCTACCTAGGACCCTATGATTTTGGTAGTATATCAGAAGAGGTGGATAAACCAAACCACCTGTTTGAAATACCATGGGAATCAAATTGTGATTTTTGGAACCTGTTAGATGATGATAATCTTGGGTCTTTTCAATCAAATGAAGTCCAATTAGGTGAGTCCCCAGCTAGCCAAAATATTATTCTTGGAGAAGAGATTGTTGATGATGTTGAAGCTAAGATGTGGTCCCATGATTTTGAGAATGAGTTTGGATTAGTAGGTGAGATAAATGAGTCAAACAAGGATCATTTCCTACCAAAGAATTGTGCAATTGAGCCAAAAATGGATCACACTCAAACATTTGATTTCGACGACATAACAAGACCAGAATCTGAATTAGACTTTAGTTATATTCAATTGTGGCCATCTTGGCCTTAGAATACTAGTCTTTAGTTCAATATAAACCAGTAGTTGGTAAACAAGACCATTTGAGAATCACGAAATTGTGATTTACTACTACTTATTGTAAATTAATCAAGCAGATTAGGTCGCTTTGATGTACGATGGGTTTCATGTATCGTCCACAAAATCAAGTCAGCACAAGTTGTAGATTGAAGCACGAATATATAGTTTAATGTATTGAATAATTTGTTGTTAAACAACAACTATCACACACGTTGATAGTGGGTAGGTGATATATATTCTTAACTTATTGCCACCGGTGGTTGACATTTTTTCCTCATGTCCCCACGCCTTCGAAGAATTGAAAGAATTGCAAGTACAAGACTTGCATTGTAGCATGTATAGGGTTAGCCACAAGTGTTGTTCTTCACCATGTAAATTTCCTATTGAAATTCAATATTATTTTTATTTACATATCTCGAACTTGTAATTTTCTTTTATTTAGGAAAACTAATTTCTTATCGATTAAATTAGAAACCATTAACTTTTACTCAAGTCAATTCTTTTTTAACAAAAAGTGGTAGAACACAATATTTGTGTAAGGTGTTAATGACATGTTAGAATTGTCAACAAACAATTCAAAAGATTATTACACAAACCTAATTGCAAACAATTTAGCCTATTTGTAGATACCCATAAGATCTTGATATATGTTTGGTTTAAATATTTATTAACACTATGGTATCAAATTAATGAAATAATACATTCAATACTTTTTTTATAAAATACAAATTCAACTTATCTAATTGTTGTATTCGATGATATTATTAATTAGATCAAGTGTACAAAATTTTATATAATTCTAAAATTATTTGGTTGTTCATCATATCATTTTATAATGTATAAAAAAACAAATCCTGACTCTCTCTCTCTCTCTCTCTCTCTCTCTCTCTATATATAGAGCGGGAGAGGGGTGGGGAGGGAGA